AACTGCTATATAAAAATGAGATGTAATGTGCGTGCAGAATCTAGCTAAGCTTCAGAGATACAAAGGAAGCCTAAGAAATATTTTATCATCTCTAGCGTCCTTAATTCCAACCAGAGACGAGAACTCTTGCCAAATTTGCTTTTTCTCGCCTCATAAAATCTATCTGAAAAACTTAAGTGTGGAAGAACAACAAAATTATAATCCAAATGTATGCTTTTAATGAAGTCTAATCATCTAATTTGTTCTGAATGAATGGGCAAGGGGTTTTTTGGGTTCAAAATTTGCAACTTTTTAGGCTAAAGAGCAAGAATTATAGATTAAAACCAGATGCTGAATGGAAAAATGACTGCGTTCTAATCTAAGACAAGGAAATTATAAGAAATCCATAGCCAGAAGAGAAAAAAGGGAGCAAATCAGCTTACTACAATGAAAACCTATCTAATAATTAACTAGAACCGCTTATGGTATCTTTGGACTCTGAACTGCTTCTCTCAACACCAACGTGATCAACTATAATAAGTATATAGTGTTATAATTTTGATTCCACTATGCAAGTGTGTGTGTATAGAGGGGGAATTCATTAAATTTCTAGTTATCAAGACTCAGATTAGACTCCCACATATGAAAGAATGTATTTCAGAGAAAATGATCTTATGCTAGTTCATTTGTCGTGGAATAATAAATATTGGTTGGAGATTACTTCTTCCTTAGAAAAAAACTCCATTTGCAGAATCTGCCAGTATAAATTAGTAAGCACACTTCCTGAACTGCACCCGTAATAGTAATCCATAAATGAGTGAACAAATGTGTCCTTCAAGAAATAACCGTAAATTAGCCACTAGAGTGAAGAATACTGCATTTAAATGTTATTTAAATAAGTATTATATATTAAAATGAAAAGAGACAGACATGTGTGTGAATTATTAAAGTGCAGGAAGATATTTTAAAAAATGAAAATATGTTTCTCAGAAGCTAACCTTTTAAGATATCCCATTACAATCAATAATCTGAAAAATTAAAAAGTCTGCTAATATTCAAGGTGGCATATAATGGGTTTTAACACTCATTATACAAAATTCACAGCATACTTAAAAATATATGCTCTGATCATGAACCAGAATCAGTTCACAGGTTGTCAAGGCTAAACTCAAATTAACACTAGAGGGTAATAACATGGAGGTAGGCCCACAACGTACGACTACAAATGAGCCCAAAATTTCTGCTGCTAAATGAGACAGTTGTTAAGCACGTTTTGGCTCATTTTTCAACCTTTGTTACCACAGTTAAGTGAATCACTGCAGTTGTTAACAGTTAGTGACACAGTTATTAAGTGAATCTGGCTTCCCAATTGATTTTGCTTTTCAGAGGGTTACAAAAGATGATCACGTAATCCCCAAAACATTGCGACTGTCAAAAATATGAAACCAGTTACCAAGCATCCCAATTGTGATCACGTGACCATGGGGATGCTTCAATGGTTGTTAATTGTGAAAAAGTCATAAGTCAACTTTTTTTCAGTGATGTTGTAACTTTGAACAGTCACTAAATCAGTGGTTCTCAACGTTTGTGTGATGGCGACCCCCGTCACACTAACGTTATGCGCATGTGCGGTGCCCCATGCGTGCCGCACATGCGCGGCGGCGCCCCCATGCGCACCCCCATGCGCGGCGCCTAGACTTGCCTAGACTTCCTAGAGCAGGGCTTTTCAACCTTTTCACCCACTGTACCACTTTTAGGATATGGTAAAATCCAGTACCACCAGTCGCCTAGCAAGGTGTCAAAAACTTGCAAGGTGTCAAAAAAGGAAAAAATTGATAAAGTACAAGTAGTCTTCAACTTACAAAAGTTCGCTTAGTGACTGTTCGAAGTTACAATGGCACTGAAAAAGTGTCCCCCAAGCAACAGCTGAACAAGACACTGGCCTGCCCCCCCCCCCGTGGCACTCTTCCTCCTGTCCAAGGTTTTCATTATTGTGAGCATTTCTGTTGAGGATTGGCAGTGGGGGTGGGGTGGGGGGTGTTTGATTTTTATTCCACCCGTCTGCTGGGTGGTTGCATTAGGTTTTGGTCACTTCACATGACCCTGGGACACTGTGACTGTCATAAATATGAATCAGTTGCCAAGCACCTGAACGTAAATCATAAGACCCTGGAGATGCTGCAACATTCCAGCTGATCGGCACTTCTTCTGGGCTCAGCAGAAGCGCCAGGATCAGTGCCGAGCTCCAGCTAGAGCCTGGCACTGATCCTGGCACTTTTACTGAGCCCTGACAGCCCCGATCAGCTGGAAAGTGGCACTGATCCTGGCACTTCCGCTGAGCCCTGACAGCCCTGCAGCTCCAGCCATCTCTCACTCAGGCTTGTATGGTGCTGGCACCGGTTCAGCTGATTCCCCTCCCCCGCTACCACTTTTCTAGCATGGTCACGTACCACCTGTCAGGTGCTAATGTACCACAGGTGGTACCTGTACCACTGGTTGAAAAGCCCTGTCCTAGAGGATGGGTCAAGGGGAAATGCATCATCAGACTTGCCATGCAGAGCTTCTTGGAAGAAGGTTGGAACAAAAGAATTTTAAAATAATTTTACCTACTTTTCCTCATAATTATTTATTATAAACATCTGAAGTAAGTACGGGTGGCTGTCAGCATGACTTTTTAAAATCTCTCGGAAAATCTAAACCTCTTTTGTTAAAGAAGTCAGCAAACAAGATAGAAATCGACCCCCTTTTTAAACAATTATCTCACTTCTCTTTCCTTACCAACAATTTCTAGTGCCCAATGTTATATTAATATTAATGACAATATTAAAATACACTCAGGAAACAATGAGAACATGCACCCAGCATCTTCTTTGTAATACCATCAGAGTCAGCTATTTCTTAATTTAACATTCATTGTGGTGCTAAGCAGAGCTTTTTCACAACATAGAATTAAGCAACATGATTGTCGACTACACCACTGCCAATAGAAAAGTTACGATGGTGGAAGCCACATAGAAGCACACCACAACGCCATCATGCACCTAATACAACTCATAAAACTTACCCCTCTTTTGAGGCTTTTGAAAGAAGGCATTCTGGGCTTCCCTGCCTTTATTTCATTCATGCAATAATGCATTTGTTCAATGGAGAATATGGGATACTGGGAACCATTAGAAGTATTGGACGTGTATAAACTAGTAGGGGTAAGGGGTGGGGACTGTGGCTGATATGAAAAGAAAGGAAGAGATAAGGCAAACATTCAAAGTGATGAAAATTCTGTCTTTTTTCCTTTCAATACAGAAACAAATAATGGGTTGGATCCAGAGTAACAAAGGAACAAATTTCTGCAAACTGAATGCTCCCACAACTGGAAGGGGAGATTTTAACCAAATGACCCCTACTTCTGAAACCCATAGTAACCATCCTCTCATAAATATACTTCAGAAGACTGGAGGTCTTTAAAAATAATATGAAAGGTGGAACCGGAGGTGGAGAAAGAGAACATGTGAAAATAATCTTCTTTACATAGCCTCCATTGCACGATTCACTTTAGGGAATGGGGAAAAAAATCTTCCATATCAGCACACAGAGTCTGGATCCAAGCCCATAACATTTTATATTTTCATCATTACAATTATCAGCATCAGAATGTATCATCATAAAACCTATATCATAATAAAAATAATTTATAATATTTAAGGTATCACAAAGCTCTTGTTTTTAACTACCAAAATGATAAAGACACCACACTGAGCTCACAAGAATTTCAAAATCACAATGAAAGCTATCCTTTGGGACTAACTCAAAAACACACCAATAAACTTCGGTCATAAAAGGAAATATATACAATAGGCATTGATATTTTATTTATACATGTGGTGTCATTTGCTTCTTGCTATGAAAAAATGAAATTAAAAACTTATTTTATCCCAAATTTGGATGTCCATTTTAACGATACATGAAACCAGCGGCTTCAAATATTAATAGAAATACACCATGCAGTCAGAATTTACAATGGCATTCTTTCATCTAAAGCTGGCATGTTCAACCTTTTAGCTTGCCTGGACTGCACTGGTGAAGAGGTAGTGTCTTGGGCTGCATATAAATATACAATATAGTTAATATACATAAATTCACATAATAATATTAAAAGTTTACAGTATTTTGGGCTGCATTACTAGCTGCCCAGGGCCAAATGTGGCTCACAGGTTGGACAAGCCTGATCTGAAGTATTAACATTTTCTGCACAAATTTCCCATACAATCCACCATAATTCAATTGCTTATCCCAATGTCAACAATATCTACAGTTATAAGGTCAACTTAGACTTAATATTATTAGTTTTTCATACTTCGAAAGGAATTAACACTAACTTCCATTTGAACCTTCAGGTCACCCACTTCTCAACAATATTCACTTTTTCACAAGTTTTATCTTATAAATATGAAACCATACTCAACAAAGCTTCACCAAGACAAACAAAGCTTAAACAAACTATACTCTTATCTGTACTACATTTATCATGTAAGTTAAAACCCTCAACCGATTGTGCTTATTAATTTCTCTCCAGTCCACCAGAACACTTCTATTTCAACAAGTATAATTCCACATGGATAGCAAGATATTGCATGATGTAACAGTTCAGCAACAACTACAGAGGCTGCTACAACTGTTCAGATCAGCTATAAGAGTTTCTGGCCAAGTCACTGTCTGGTATGGATTACAATATTTTTACAATTCCAGGGGAATTTTTGTATTTATAGTCCTAATCAGTCACAGTATATGCTTTTGACTTGCTGGGACTCAGCTGCTGGAATGCCATAGTTGAATTATGTAGGGATGGGAGACCAAAATGTTCATAATAGCACAGTTATACTCTGGAACATACTAGAACCCAGTTTCTAAAATGAATAGTTTTGCCACAAAAATCAATCTGATTATTCTGTTGCAAAAGGTAACATTTAAACACCGAATTACAACCTTGAATGTGCAATCATAGGATACATTTCAATTTTCTTTACCTTTGGTTTCTTTCCAAAGAGCCAGAGTTTGCCCTTAGTTTTGCCCACAGTGGTTTTTGCATCGATTTTCATTCCTTCCTGTTTCGGGGTACTAATTGTTCCATCAGAAACAGTCCTATAAATGTGTTGACTGTAATCTTCAAATGGAAAATCTCCAGGAGGTTCAAAGCCAGACTTAAAGGAGTCTATTACTATTTGAGAATCCTTTATGAGAGAAATTTACAGAGTTAATGGCTTAAATATCGCATTTAACTAATATTACACTTAAAGACTATCAGTCCTTCAAGGCACTCCTGATCAGGAAACCAAAATCATGAATACTAATACCACCCCTCCCCCGATTTTATGTTCCAGAGAACTAGGAAGGATCAATTCTGAGGTGATTCCTCACAACACATTTCTGGTTTGAACTCAGATTTTTGTTTGTTTTTTAACTGACCACTGTCTAGGTTGCAGCTCTTCCTCCAGTCTCTCAAGGTTATTCCTTCTGCCCATTATACTACCAAAATCCAATAGTCTCCTTTTGGCATATGTAAAAATATTAGACTGTTATTTTTTTCTAAACAGGCAATATTAAATAGCCACAGTGCTTAGAGAGATAAAAATATCAATGAAACATGGTATATTTCTTTAATTAACAATAATCAGATATGCAAACCTGAAACCCCACTAATAAGACTGGCTGCCATATCTGCTGGAGTTGGATTGGAAACAATACAATCTGTCCTCTTTTAGCAACTCCAGGAACAGAGACTAAGCCAACCGTGTGTGTGTGTGTGTGTGTGTGTGTGTGTGAGAGAGAGAGAGAGAGGGGGGGGGGGGAGAGGGATTTTGAGATCGTTACTTCCTGCCATCCCATTTAGATAAAGTTCTCTCATGCAGCAATACCAATATCCTCTCTGGCATACATTGTTGTCCAATGCAATTTGGGTATTAAGTGTGGAAAATTATTTGTTGGGAAAAGAGAGAAGAAAGCTATTGATTTCATGGAAAACAACATATCAGACTGACTGTATTTTGCTTTATGGGACTTAAGCTGCATAAGCTTGACCAACATAGGCTCTAGTTAAGATATAATGTGATTGTAATCTACAAGATTAGATTTACTTCCATAGCAATGTGCTTAATACTAGCACTGAACTATGAAAAACAAATTTAACTTACCCTGCGATCATCAACTGATTTGGCTGCAGCAATCATTCCTTCTAAACATTTTGAGATTATTGGAATAACTTTCCGCTCAGAATCTGCAAATCCTTTATAACATTCACTAAGTTTGATGGTTCGTCGTTCATCCATTTCTTGAAGGTGCTAAGTAATAAAGGAGAGACTGAGCATCTTTATAGTAACATTCCAAATACGGTGGGACTTTGTCCTCCCTATAATTATCATGTGTACAATTTGTTAGTGAACTAAATATACTAAATGTATTATTAGGGGGTCTTTATTTCACCAAACCTTACTCATTTCTACAAATGGTATTCACATTCAGCTAATGCCTTCTAAAATCAATTAGAATTGGAAAGTATTAACTACAGTCATCAATAATTAAAGTCGTGATTTGTATATGAAACCTAAGATTGTGGTAATAAAAAAGAAAGAATAATTTAAGAACTAACATATTTATTACAAACACTGTAAAAACGTATGCCATAATTAACTAGTTAGTTTTTTGCTGGTTTCTAAAACATTTTCAAATCTTACAAATACAACACATAGGTGGTTGGGCATTATTTACTTTTAGAATTATATTCTATATTTAAAACCACACAGTAATTATATAATTTATAAAATAAATTATATAAATTTAAATAAAACAGAATCTAGAAGAATAAATGATAGAAGAGAGAGTGTTTGTGTGTTTTAGGGAGATAGACAAAGAAAAAACCTAGATAACTCAAGTTCCTATTGAAAACTTGTAGAAATTTACTTTCACACTCTTCAATGACCAAGTTCATTTAGATGAAAAACATACCTTATATATTTGAGGAATGACAATATAGAAATGCTTGTGCTGTTCACCATTGAAATTTTGGAGCTGTGCAGCATATTCATTTTTATTTTCATCAGCCATATGTGTACGCAGGTTTAGTTGCTGCTTTGCCTAAACAACGGGGACAGGTCAATAACAGTTTTAAATTATTTTTAAAAGAAATTCTTACTCAGCAGCATACTCATTATCTTTAATTACCTATGACATCTTAGTGTCCAATATATCCTCTCATTAACATTTGTAACATTTAGAAACTGTTTCTCAACTATGAAGTTAACCTCTCTCTCTCTATATATATATATAAAGCTTTTGATTTTAACAGGTACCGTAAATGCCGGCGTATAAGGCGACTTCCGCGAGCGCTGAAATCGGCACCAAAGACAGGGGTCGTCTTATACGCCGAGTCGTCTTATACGCCGGAAATACTGGTAGTTTCCGGCGTATAAGACGACGGGGGTCGTCTTATACGCCAGGTCGCCTTGTATGCCGGCATTTACGGTAGTTGTTTCAAATCATGTCATTGTTTTAGTGGTACTTTCAACTAATGCATTTACAAAGTAAACTAAACAGGAAAGACTACCTTGCAGGAGCATTTGCAGCAAGCCAAACGGTCATCAAAATGACAAAAATATATATTGCGATGTCTTAACACAAGTTTTGCTCCTTAGGTAATGCAAGTACAAAAAAAGGAAAGTAAGCTTTATAACGAATGGTTTATTAGGTGATCCTTTCTGTCCATCTGCAGAAACTTATGCTGACTTACCAAGGAAACAAACCTTGCACAAATCTACTAGTATTATGAGAAAATAGTCACAACAATATTAATTTTGTATCTATGTGTGGATAGATACAAAAAAGGGGAGAAATCCCACCAACACAAGCAGAAAAGCATATTCCTGCAACAGAACTGACTCCTATTGTAATGAGTTTTATAAGGCAAAATAGTTTTCTTTTGGGAATAAAGAATAAGAATTAATAAATTATGATATTAAAAATCACTAACTGTAAATCTAATGAGAAACATGGTACCTCAATGTATAAAAACAAACATTACAGACATGTAATGAGAGGTAGCAAACTTAGATAAAAATTGCAAATGCTTAAGACCTTTTATTAAAAATGCTGCACCTTTACTTATGGCTTTTATTCAATTACAATAAAATGTCCTATACAAGACTATACAAGTAAATAAGACATTGCATGAAGTTTCTTAACATGATTTTAATATTTTAAAGCCTTCATACTGAGTATTATCCATAGTATTTTTGTATTTAAAATAAAATTAAAGATTAAAAAATATTTAAGTAAGTAAGTTTCAGGGACATGATTAAGCAAAGGCCTGCTGTGAAATCTGAAACAGCAAACTGGTTTAGATAAATATTCAGTAGACTAATTCTGGCCTTCAATCTTCATGTGGAATATTTGCCCAAGTCACATTTTATTGCTTTGGATTTATAAGCACAATCTGCAGCTCGATCCATGAGAAAACAAGAAAGCTCAAGAGTGGCTCGAGCACAGGACTATAATAGTTGCATTTTAAAAGGTTTTGTGCGTGACATTTCACAGAAGGTCCTGCCACATGTGTGGAAACTTCTCTTTCAAATATAAAACAGATTGTTTCAAGCTTTCCCAGCCGTTTTACCAACAAAATGGGACATTTCATGAAATTTTGCAATCAGAACATTTCAGAACTGTAATTTTCAAACCATAATTTGAAAAAAATAAAAAAAATGTGATGGCTGAAACTCGGCTAATTCAACACACTTTGATATCCACATTTGATGGTCAAAATACTGTATTTGTTCAACAAACAACATTTCCAGATACAGCCATGCAAACTCTTATTTTCCAATAACAATATCTTACTTTTTCAACATCTGCTTTAGTGGCGTTGGTATCATTGTCCAGTCTCTCATAACATTGCTGTGCCTTTTCTGCTTCTTTGCACTCTCTTTCAAATTTCTTTTTGCTCTACAATGCAATGACATAGTTATGAATCAATACAACTTATCACATTGCCTGTACTACTCTCACAATTACAATTCAGATCCATGCTCTTTTGATGAAAATGAAAAGTATTCTGCACACATTACTGCCCTTTAACCAGTGAGCATTTCATTTTGTAATTGTTTAATTTTTAGATTTTAAAATCCTCTACCCTCTCAACCATGTATTCGTCCAACGCTAGAAATAAAAGAACATTAAGATTAGCAAGACTATTACTTATTGCATTCCCCATTATTTTAGGAAGCTCTATCCATTTGCTAGCTATTGATTCCCCTAATTTAACCTTGAATAATCCGCTCTTCTGTGTGAATAGCATCATGGCAGGTCCTATACATAAAAGTATTTGCTTTCTCCATCTGTCTGAAAAAGTTATTCTATCCTCAATACATCACATAAACCATATCATTACAAGAACTAATAATAAGAGGCTAACAAGAGTAATGTATCTATAAGCACACACAAATACACACACAAACACTAATTAAGACGACGTGAACAACTAGTCTGAACATCCCAGTCCAGAGGCCCTCAATCTTTTGGGCATCAGGGTCCGGTTCCATGGAGAAAGAGTTTTCCACGGACCAGAGGGTTAGAGACCATTGGCCTAGCATTTTCATTCTTGAAAGCTCATATATAGCACAGAAATGTCCTGCATCTGAAATACAGTATATCATCAGCAGTAGAGATCATTAATAGATTTTTTTTATAGAGCAGTTTGTATACTAGAGAACAGCTCTGTATAAATGTTAGGCTTACCATTATCATTACTTGTCTCCTTCATAGTACATTCTTTTAGAAAGACATGGGTCAAATGATTTGATTTTTGCCTAAAATAATTATGGAACATTATGTAACTCCATCAACTTTCCTTTAATTTTATAACTATAATATCCAATATTTTGAGGCTAATTCATAAAAAAATCATCTTAAAGTAACTCAAAAGAATATTAAATAACAAGGGAAGATATGATTCTCAAGATTTAATTAAAAGTAAGCCTCTGGTCTACCAAAATAAATTCCTGCTTAAGAACTCCAAGACTAGGCAAGACTAATATATTTTATTACAGCTGAAATCTAGTCAGTAAATCTATTAAAGTCATATTCCTGCAGATATTACTAACTGAGGAATTAGCACTGTAATGATCTAACAAACATAACAATCCATCTTGGCTATTGAACAATGAAAGCACTGTGATTGCTCAGTGATAAACAAGTTCATTCATTATGTCTTCACTCTGGCATCAGTCATCCATAAAACTATGCAACCCTAAAGAAACCAGAAAAGGAATAAAAGAAAACTCACATTATCCATCTGCTTCCAACACATGTCAAGATACTGTTGTGCTTTTCGGCCCTCTTGAAGGTGCTGGAATATAATAAAAAAGATGTTTTACAAACCTCATCTTGCTTTTAAAACTGTTCAGCTTAATCTTACAAAATGATACATACACACACACACACACACACACACACACACACACACACAAGGTAAAACAGAATGCCAAACAAGAATGTAAATCACAACAGAAGCATCATGATTTTAACATTATTGATATGCGCTCATCCATTGTTTTCTTTCTTCCAAAGATGTAAAAGATGCCATAATTTATAGAGACCAATAATTTAAGAGATGCAATGGAAGGAACTACAATGTGTGTAACTATGTGGTTTATATAATTGCATGGATTGCTGAGCACTGATATCAGGTTTTACTGCTACATTCCTACAGCTGAAAAAAAAACCCGTCTTAAGTATATAACAGCACCTTCATATTTTTAAACTGTAATATTTCTAAAAGTCCTCAAATATATTAGCTACTAAATAACATATAAATCTAGAAGAAGCTTGCTGAGGACCTACAAAACAATCAAGGCTGTGATCAGAAGTTTGTTTCAAGGAATCAGCTCCACTGAAGTTGTGTGTGTGTGTGTGTGTGTGTGTGTGTGTGTGTGTGTGTGCATTTTAATAAAATACAAATCAGAAAACAAAATACATTTAAATGGGCTATATTTTAGAATCTTAAAGGCAAGCATATTTTTGCTGCATTTTTGCAACAGAATAATGCAGAACTACACGAAGATCTATGTACAAGCCCAGCAGGAGAGAGACCTAATAATTTTTGCTGTTTTCGAGAAAACAAATAATTAAATTGTCCTGACATTCATAAGTAGTTCAGCAAAACAGTAACTTGGATCTTCCACCCCCATCCTCTTACCAGTTTCCTTTCTGTTTTGAGTTCGTGGGAATATCTCATCAGTTCTCCATATACCCTATGTCCCAGTTCTTCTGCTACTACTTCACGTTGTCCTGCGTAGTCATTTAATTCATTAAGAATATTATAAAAGGCTATACATGAGGTAAACCTGGCAGAATACAGAAAATAAACAAAAAAGATATTTCATTATTACTGTGGGTGTACAACTGCTTTTCTTTAACAAAACAAGGAAAGGAACATATCATAATCTAGCATGCTGTGAAGACCTTTAAAAAAATGAATCTCAGAGAAAGAGGTAAAACACAAATACCCAAACCACTTCTCATTAGAGAAGGTAAGATCAACAGGAATTTATGCAGGGAGAAAATAAAGAATACCGCCCAAAGGCCCTGCAGAATAGAAGCATTTACTAAGATGTGAAATGAAAAGACAGATTGTAGGAATAAATTTAAAATTACAAGGAAAACTAAGCTTGATGCAGAAATGATTCACTTCATCTGGAAAATGGGACATATCATTCAGGTGTACCCTGTGAATGAGCGTGTTTGCTACATCATGAAGGGTCGGACACTTGGGTCAGGTCAAATATGTTACGTTATTCTGACATAATACGTAGGGAGGCTTACAGGTTTAGAACTGAATGGAGGAAAAGAAAGGAGAAAAATGTATGGAAAGGAAGAACAAAGATATTACTTCTTAAAAATAGATCTCATAAATTATGCTACTTTTCTCAACTCATCGGGTCTTGAATGTACCAGAATTTGGAAGTCACATTAATCCAGATATCTTTACCTTATTATAAAATAATTACCTATGAAAAATGTACTTGGCTTAAACATTTAAATCCCAACAATCCTGATACTGGGATTAGACCAAGATCCATATATATTTCATATTCATATTACCTGGGCTCTTCGTCTTTGGATGAACGTTTAGGACAGTATTTCTTCACCAGATTTCTGTTAGAGAGAGAAAGAGAAAGAAAGAGAGAGAGAGAGAGAGAGAGAGAGAGAGAGAGAGAGAGAGAGAGAGAGAGAGAGAAATGGGCTTTAAAAAGGGGCGAGATGAGCCTAAGAATCTGCCTGAGTTAGAAAAATAACACAATTAAGTTGCCCAGCATGAGTTTATTTATATTTGCATACATTGTTTATATTATGTAAATTACATTGTTTAAAATAAAACAAATTATATAAAAAAGTAAAAATTATTCCACTCTTGAATAACTGCAGCTAGTCCTCTCTTAGTGACCGCTCGTTCAATGACAGTTCAAAGTTACAAAGTTGTGGCCATCATACATCTCCAAGATTACATGAACATGGTCTGGGCACTTGGCAATTGGCTCACAATTACAAAAGTTGCAGTGTCCCAGTCACGATTGCCATTTGCAACCACTCACTGGCCTGGAACATAGTTTCAGTGGCATAAGCAAGCTGTCCTGGATTCTCGTCTCTTTCCATGTTGTGGTCACATGATGTCCTCACTTAATGACTCATGTGGTCCTTGTTAATTACAGGGATTGCTATTGTTAAGCAATGTGGTCACATGATGTCATTTTTTACAACCGCTTTGCTTAGCAACTAAAATTCCAGTTCCAACAGCTGTCATAACACAAAGACTACCTGTATTAGATCAAACTAATTTGCCGTATTTTCTTTCTGTGTAAGGTCACAATGTTAAAATGAAGCCAAAAGGAAAAAAACAGAATTTTCTATGCACAGACTGACTAATTAATTTATAATTGCAAATTCAGCAGCGTTTTTACTGTCTTTTCCCAGAGTAGTAAAGACATGGCTTTTTTTCAACCATAACAAGCCATTTCCCACAAGATGGTAAAGAATAGCAGCGGCAGAAGACTGACACTAAAAGAATACAGCAGAAATTCCAAAGATTCCAGTGGCCTCAAGTTAACCAGATTGCTCATAAATATCCCCACAAAGGAATAATGGTATACATTTCACATTTTACAGCAGGAAATCTATTTCATTTCCTCAAGTGATATACTAAGAACATAAAATAAATCATTCTTCCTTGGACTAAATTTAAATTTAACCCTCATCTAGTTTTTAGATATAAGAAAATTACCCGGCACTTAAACACTACAATATTCACACTTCACCAGTAGCAAAAAGAAAGTGGGAAAGTTAGCAGAGAGGATTTAATGAATTATTCAAAATTAAGAAAGAACTGATGACAATAAGAAACTTTTCTCACAAAGGGCAACCGTGGAAGGATGCCTGATATAAATGGTTAACAGATGTTGAACACTTTCTACATGGCTGTAAAAGGCCATGGGAAAATGTTGACGAACATTTAATCTGTTAAAACAGATACTAAGATTTTCCATCTATGCCTTTAAGACATATATGGGTGAACACACTTTGCTATATATTGACTTTCTTAATGCCTGGGAGAGTCTTGTATAATATTAAACACATGTCAAAAAATTCTTAGGGCAATGTGGAACTCATGGACTTCTTTCACAAGAGTCTTTAATGGAGACCCGCCTGGGATAACTCACCCACATTTTATAGGCTACTTACAAGATATCATTCATTTCTCACAATCTTTTCCCTAGTGTTGTTTTTGGCATCACTGTTTTGAGAATAGTAGAATACTATAACTCAGCGTTTCCCAGACTGTGAGATTTACCTCCTTTGTGGAGGTGCAGACAGTCCAGTGGAGGTGTGAAGAACTTTTTAGCTTTATCGTTACTGTAAATTCACCTTTCCCAAAGTTTATTTATTTTGTTTTTATTTAGAGTAGAGTAGTAGAGTAGCTGTAGAGTAGAAGTAGGAGTAGATTAGAGTTTTTATTACAGTTACTGATCAGAACAGAAATACATTAAAAACACTGTTCATTTGTGTTTATTTTGGTAGGCCAGGCTGGTTTTCTATCTCAACACACTTTTATTATATTACATTTTAATCAATTTTCACAGGTAAGTAAAATATTAGTCCATAAGCAGATAGAAGAGGTATGTAAAACATTTCATTTTAAGCCATTTTGAGCATGAAACTTTTGCAAAGCAGGCTAGTTTTAAGCATTTTGGAAATGGTTTTGCACTCATACCAATTTCATTTCCAGCTCAAAACATTTCTGAACATGTTTTAAATGGGTTTAAATTGTTTAGCGTTCAAAATGGTTTAAATTGAAATATTTTGCACACCTTAGTGGTTCAAAGTAACTGAGGACAGAGTATCATTTTTAAAAGTTTCTTTCTCTGGAATATTTAGAGAAAAGCAGTTGACAATAAAGTGTCATTTTATTCTGGGAGCAATTACCTATGGAATGATAGGTTTTTCAGCACGAATCTCTCCAGAATATGAATTCATCTGTACAATTGCTGAATGAGAGTCTGCCACATCTACATTTGGATCAGAATCAATGTCTTATGTTTTCAGTTTCAATTAAAGAAAAACATACTTGAGAAACAAGAAACCACATTTGCTTTCAATTTAGAATTCATGCTAGTAAAGTATCTAGAAATCTTGCCAAACTTTCTAAATATAGTAATTTAGGTAACTAAAACTTCATTTGGCTATGCACAAACTATATAGTTTCCAACTCAACAGGATTAGTTAAATAACTTTCTTCATCTTCAAAATCAAGTTCAATATTCATCAATTTACAATCCCAATTGAGTCCAGAACTTACAGTGCTAAGCAAGGCGGTTGAATTAGTGGTGCAACCTTTTTTGCCCAATTCTACAACCTTTTGTCACAATTAAGAATAGCAGAGTTGGAAGGGACCTTGGAGGTTCTCCAGTCCAACCACCTGCTCAAGCAGAAAACCCTATACCATTTCAGACAAATAGCTGTCCAGTCTCTTCTTAAAAACTTCCAGTGTTGGAGCACCCACAACTTCTGGAGGCAAGTTGTTCTACTGGTTAATTGTTCTAACTGTCAGGAAATTTCTCCTTCGTTCTAAGTTGGTTCTCCCCTTGAATCACGTAGTCGTTAAGTGAATTTGACTCCCCCCTATGACTTTGCTGTTCAGAAGTTGGCTGGGAAGGTTATAAATGGTGATAACATGACCTCTGGATGCTGCAACTATGTAACTATGTAAATACATGTTGGTTGCCAAGCATCCAAATTTTAATCACAAAACTGTGGGGATGTTGCAATGACTGTGAGAACTGGTCTAAGTCATGTTTTTCAGTGCCGCTGTAACTTTTGAATGGTTGCTAAACGAATGGTTGTAAGTTGAGGACTATGTGCAATTCTTTCTAGAGACATCTATATTACATTATAGACGCTTTCATGCATCAATGTTTTGCCTTTGGCATCCAGCTGTAGCCACTTCAGAAAGATGTGTTGTCTTTGGAAATCTTTCAACCCCTTCCCCATTTCTAAAGCGGCAGAAGCTGCACCATCTTTGGAAGCCTTTCTGAAGACAACATGGTTTTCCAAACTGGCTAAAGCTGTGCTGTCTTTGGAAATCTTCCCTCCCCACCCCCCACCCCCATTTCTGAAGTGATGAGGTGTTATGCACAAAAGGTGAAAGTTTGGTGTGGGAAACTGGGAGAGAAGGCAACTGGGTGGTTGACTGATTGCTGGGAGCAAATGAATGCTTGCGGCTTGCTTGTGGGAGTGGGCTAGGGGGCCCCATGGGCCTTGGGAGAAAAAGCAACTGGGAAAATTATTTATTTATTTATTTATTTATTTATGAGACTTATATACCGCTTTAAGTGCAAGCACTCTCTAAGCGGTGTACACCAGTAAGCAATGTATATATATATTTACATTGCCCCCAACAATCTGGGTCCTCATTTTACCTACCTCGGAAGGATGGAAGGCTGAGTCAACCTTGAGCCGGTGAGATTTGAACCGCTGACCTGCTGAACACAGTCAGCTAAAGTGGCCTGCAGTACTGCACTCTAACTGCTGCGCCACCTGGTGCTTGTTGAGGCTTCCTTGGGCATGGCAAGTAGCCACAGTATCACACAGTTTTGGGACTGTTTGTCACCTCTCAAGGCAGGGTGGCCAAAAGGACAGAACTGGGATAGGAGAGAGGCGGGTGGGGGAATTGGAATAAGTCTCTTATCTTATCAAAGCTTGGGTTGGATTGTGGATGGACATTCATTTAACAACATGGGATTCTTGATTAATAACCATATTGGGAAGAGCCAGGTTTGCTGTCGTAAGCCGATGCAGACACATAACACAACTACACTGATTTACAGTGGGGGGGGGAATTATTTGATCCCCTGATGATTTTGTACATTTGCCCACTGACAAAGAAATGATCAGTCTATAATTTTAATAGTAGGTTTATTTTAACAGTTAGACAGAGAGTAACAACAAAAAAATCCAGAAAAATGCATTTCAAAAAAGTTATAAATTGATTTGCATTTTAATGAGTGAAAGGAGTATCTGATCCCCTATCAATCAGCAAGATTTCTGGCTCTCTGTTAAAGGGAGTGGTCCTAATCACAGCTTGTTACCTATATAAAAGATACCTGTCCACAGAAACAATCCATCAACCAGACTTCAAACTCTCCACCATGGCCAAGACCAAAGAGCTGTCCAAGGATGTCAGGGACAAGATTATAGACCTACACAAGGCTGGAATGGCCTACAAGACTATTGCCAAGCAGCTTGGTGAGAAGGTGACAACAGTTGGTGCAATTATTTGCAAATGGAAGAAACATAAAATAACTGTCAATCTCCCTTGGTCTGGGGCTCCATGCAAGATCTCACCTGGTGGAGTTTCAATGATCATGAGAACGGTGAGGAATCAGCCAGAACTACACAGGAGGATCCTGTCAATTATCTCAAGGCAGCTGAGACCATAGTCACCAAGAAAACAATTGGTAACACACTACGCCATGAAGGACTGAAATACTGCAGTGCCCGCAAAGTCCCCCTGCTCAAGAAAGCACATGTAGAGGCGTGTCTGAAGTTTGCCAATGAATATCTGAATGATTCAGAGGAGAACTGGGTGAAAGTGTTGT